ATCTATCTATCTATCTATCTATCTATCTATCTATCTATCTATCTATCTATCTATCTATATATCTATATATATATATATATATATATATATATATACACCCCATGATTACATGATTAAAATTTGAACACTTGGTAACTGATTCATATTTATGAAAATTGCAATGTTCCCAGATCATATGATCACCTTTTGACCTTTTGACAAGCAAAATCAATGGGAAAGTCGGATTCACTTAACAACCATATTAATTTAACAACTGCAGTGATTCAAATTAACAACTGTGGCAGGTCATGTCACAAAATGGGTCAAAATTCACATAATTGTCTCATGTAGCTACATAAATTTTGGGCTTAGTTGTGGTCATAAATTGAGGACAATCTATAAATACCAATGTATTGGAAATAATTAAATAGAGAAAATTTGCAAATGATTACTGTGTCTTGTTAATTCCATGTTTTCAGAGAAAACTGTTTCAATCCTTGTCTTCTGAGTGCACATTTGCATATCGTTCAGTTACAGTTGAATCTAAACTGTTTGAAAAAAATATTACATTTGCAGAAAAAGATATACAATGATTAGAAAATGCTCTTCTATGTTGTTGAATTTTGATGCTTGTTTTATAAAGTCAAGGCATAATTTGAAAATTTAAATATGATGTGATGAATTTGTATGTATAATATAGAGAAGACTGTCCCTCTAGCTAATTGGATAATTGTGACAGATGCTGGCAGTCATTAATATTTGTAGGGCCATAATATCCATATTTAGTTTACTGTACATTTCTGTGTTTGTGCATGTGTGTGTGTTGCAGCACCCACATTACTAACTACATAGTCTTGAATATCCTCAAAGATAGAGAGGAAAAAGTGCATTGAAGGGTGGTTCAAAAACTGAGTGATATTTCAATTGGTGAAACTACCAATTAGTTTTATTTAAGCCAAAATCCTTTTGAAGTAACAGTACATAACTGTTTATGTTTCCTTATTTTCTTTAAGCACACCTTCTGAAAGATCCTGTTCCACTGTCATATCCTTTAATACTAATGGTTGAGGAGGCAGTTTTAACCTAGAGAAACACCTGAATATCTTTTGCATAGCTCTGGAATTTTCATTGCAAATTAGGGGAATTTTCTCTCCTTCTGCTTCTTATGCTTCCTCATGGTCTTTGCCAACAGCCTCCTATGCCAAACACAACTATTTTGATCCGGGATACATTAATTTACATAATTTTCAGGTCCATTGCATCATATAGTCTATCAAATATTTGCTCCAATTATTGTGGGTCATTAGCCAACAACGCAGCATCATCTGTATATGAAGTCCTCATACATTCAACGAAGTACACATTTACAACAAATATACCTTCTACATTCTCTATACAATTGTCCATAAGCCTATTAGGCAGTTAGGGAATCCCCATAATTTTCTCATTCCTTGTTCAAATTTGAAGTATTTGCCAAGTATTCAATTTCTTTTTCTTGCCCATGCTTAATTTCCATCTATACGACATTTCAATTCCATATTCACATAAAACATTTGATAATTCAAGCTTTTTTAAAAAATACACTTTTTTAAAATTAGTGTTCTTTAATGCTGAAGAAGGGGGAAAAATCTAGTCTGCTAAAGTCCTGCTTGGAATTCAGTTGCTGTGCACTTCCCAAATTCTGATCATTGTCTCCTTTTCTCCCCTTTCAATCAGAATTCATTCAACATCTCCCTAGTCACAGTTCACCAACTAAATCATTTGTGTTTTACATTCATTCTTGCTCTCTACCTCCTTGCATTAAGCAAAAAGCATTCTTCCAATCTTCAAGCATAGATAAGTATTGAACAAATTGAAGCACTGTTTAACGTGCTTCAATTTAACAAGTCTTAAACAAGTATTTAACAAATTGAAGCATTGTTCTGTGAGGAAATCACATCAAATTTGCACTTTTTTGAACTACACAAGTTTACCCCTGCAATCTTATCATTATCCAACATTCTCACAGCATTTTACTTTATTTTCTCAATTCATTCTTTTATGGTAACATTTACCATATTTTTCGGAGTATAAGATGCATCAGAGTAAAAGACGCACCTTAATTTTGGGGGAGGAAATCAGGAAAAAAAAACCTTTCTGCCTCTTTCCCAGCTGCATCCATCAGTATTCATCTGGCTAATACCCGAAGCTGCCTGGGGAACTGCAATGAAAGCCTTTTCAATGAAAGCGTTTTTGGGCTGTAGGGTCCCCTCCCCGATTCCAAAAAAGGCACGTGCAGAGACCAAACAAGTGCATCATGTTTCAGGTGGCAGTCAGTTCCAATCAGGCGCCATGTGAAAGTGAGGATCCCCGCCACATAGAACCCCCCAAAAATGCAACGCGCAGAGTGGGTGGGTGGAGCTACATTTGGAGTATAAGACGCACCCAGATTTTCACCCTCTTTTGGGGGGTAAAAAGATGCGTCTTATACTCCGAAAAAATACAGTATGTCATTCCCTTCAGTACTACTATTTATTGTATCATTCTTGTTCCCAAATAAATTTTTGAACATTTTCTTTAGAAGTCTTCCACTTCAGTTTCATCTGTAATGAATTATATTTTTTTAAGTACTATTCATTCTTCTTGGTCTACGTTCTTTGTGGCTACCATTTGCTCATTTACACTCTAATCCAAAGCAAAAATTTTGAACTTCTAGTTATTTGGAAAAAGTCTTCTTAACTATAAGTCTGTAGAGATTCTCAGTCATTCAGGTCGTGGTTGTTCCAAAGGTGCTTTTTCAGAAGGCAATTGGACTTTCTTGTTTTTTTGTTTTGAAGACATTTCGCTTCTTATACAAGATAAAAACTTCTTATAATATAGCATTATATTGTCTTTTAATGATTAACTGCACTATGACCCTATATTTTCTGTTCTTCCTCAAATGGTGTTGAAGAGATTAGCACATGGGTTGAAAACTTACATGTGGACCTAAATTCTTCTCCTGTTGTCACTGCCAATTTCCCTGCTGCCATGCTCTGCATCCATGATGGCGAACCTCTGGCACATGTGCTACAGGTGGCACACACAGCCCTCTCTGTGGGCACATGAGCCATCGCCCCAGCTCAGCTCCAACGTGCATGCGCCTCCCGCTGGCCAGCTGATTTTCGGGTCTCTGCATGCATGCATGGGGGTGGGGTGTATGTGGGAGACATGCATGCATGTGCTGGGGAGAGAGGAGCACAGGGGTGCAACGCTCCCCTTGTGGCCCATTTTTTGGTCCCAGGAGGCTGCTGGTAGGCCTACAAGGCCCAAACCAGGGTGCAGGGGGGTGTCACATGCACATGTGCAGAGCAGAGGGAGTGTGGGGGGTCGCATGTGTGTGGGGTGAGGAAGCATAGGGGGTTGCATGCACATGTACATTGCATTATGGGCTAACCCTAACGTGATGACAAAAAGGTTAGCCATCACAGCTCTGGATTGACTTTGAGATTGTAATTCCATTTTGAGTAAAAAATTCAAGACTGGAAGACTGGCTTGAAATTCAAGATTTGAGTTCAACTACTAAGTGCTTATCTTTGCATGTTTTTTTCTGTTTTCTGGAAGTGATTAGTACCACACTATTATTTTCATGGCACTTTAGTCTGAGGGGGTTGCATTAGACTCAGGACTATACAATAGGTCTTCTGTCACCTTGTAGGGCATATGGAAATTATTATCTATTAAAAGACTAGAAGCTTTTTGGCGCTAAACTAGTAAAGTGCTAATCAAGCTGTAATAAATTAACTCTATTTACCTCAGACTGTGAGCAAAGTACTCTATTTTGGCTGCTCTAATTATGGACTCTGTGTGTTTTTATCAAAACATATTTACGCTTTTCCAATGTTGCTGCATATGTTCAGTATAATTTGACATATTTAAGTGTTTTTCCAAATGATTTTAATCAAAGTGTAACATAATCCTATTTTAGCTTTACTTCAAAACATTTAT